AATTTTTTTCGAAAGTTTAATGTACTAAATTCAAAACGTATACAAATAGTTTTTAGTTTTAAATTGTTTATTCTGATAATATTAGTTCTTAAAAATGGTTTAAAAATATAAAATATAATATATCATGTAATATTGGATCTAGTGTTTTTTATAAATTTTGTTTAAAAAAAAAACTATAAATTTTGATGGATTAATATTAATTATGAAAATGTTCAAGTTACCATGATAGCCCTCATACCATATAATTTTGTTATTTTGATACGTCAAAGTAGCTCAAAAAATATCCATTAAATAATTTACAGTAGAAAAGTTGGGTTTTCGTTTGGAAATAGAAGTTTGTATTTTCACAGGACGCTCCTTAATATGAGCATAGTTTCTGAATCACATTGTATATTATATTATTGTGCTATAGGTTAATAGGTACGTATTTTATAATCGATCACTGTTTCACCTACCGATTATTATACTGTTGTGTTATGAATGTTATGTATTTCACTGAATATGGAATAAAAACATTTAATGATTAATTTTCATTGTTATTATTGCGATATTTGAGCTCGACGTTTGATGATTTAATCTTGTTCAATTTTTATTACTAACGACATAATCTATAGAATATAATATGTATTATACACGAATGAAAATACCAGGAATATCAAGGTTAACTAACCTGACCTCAATATTCTGCCCTTGGCATTTTTGTTTTTTTATTTTATTTCAATCTGAAATGAGCAACCTACCTGTTTAAATCACGATAAAATTCATTATCTCCTCTGAAAATACTCACAATAATGTTATAAATTCTAGGAACTCGAATTTCCACTATCATCATGAAAATACCATATAACCTACATACAACTTTTAAAATAAATTGAAATTTTCAAAACACATATTATATAGGTGCGTGACGCTGGCACTCGCAAGTTTGAATTTCAACTCAAAAACCACATCAGTAATTGTTATACAATTTGTACAAATTGTATAACAATTACTGATGTGGTTTTTGGGTCGATAGGCCAAATACATCGAAATCCGGGTGCCAGCGTCAAGTGATGCTGGCACCCGGAAATCGTTTTTGGATTTTACGAGCGACGGAGGGGTGTACAAATTTTGGAATTGTGGTTACAAATTTGTACAAATTGTATAACAATTACTGATGTGGTTTTTGAGTTGAAATTCAAACTTGCGGGTGCCAGCGTCACGCACCTATATTTATATATCAAAATTTTAGATAATACCGTATTGCCCATCCACTCTTCCTGCCATTTGTTCACACTGCAGAACTGAGACTGAGTTAGTTATCTGGCTTTAATCCATGGTGGTTTCCTTGACTTTAGTTTACCTTTAGTAGATCAACGTTTAAAACCCTATTCATGCCTCCTTTACAGAATTAAAGAGTGCAAATGACTTGTAAATTCACCATAAATATTGTAGATTTTGCAGGGACACTGAAAATTCAAAGGGGTATACGTCGTGTCACAACAAAAAAAGACATGTATTATAGTGGTATTTGTATGTATTTAACGAAAGCCATAAATCTAAAATCCATTGTTGGCGTAACAAACGAAATCTTCCTTGCAGTCTTAAGTAGGTTTATGGTGAGGCGTGGGAAAATCGCCAATACTTGCAACTATCATGGATCAAATTTTGTGGGCGTACAAAAGATGCTTACTTAGCAGACAGTGAGAGGTACATGGTCAAGTAAAGTGTCCAATTGCACTTTAATCCATTATCAGCGCCACATATTGGTGGCCTTTGAGAAAATTCCATAAAAATGACAAAGCATTAAATATAAACATACCTTAATAAGATTGTTGTGTTATATCGTGTTGTGTAATGTCTACATTACCCGGGAAGTTTCGGATGAAATGGATCAGTTACTTCTTAAACGAAATTCGTATTTAAGGATCTGCAGTTTACCGATTGTGATTCTTCTGCTTCTGCTCTTATTTATTATAGCCAATATTGAGCTTGAGTTTTAGTTTTACCGTTTTAGATTTTCTATACAGAGTTGAAAAGTTGATCTCTTAATCTATATTTTTTACACACCAAATCAGTATACTACTAAATCTATGACGTTTTATACCATGTGGTTATACTTACCACAGTTTTGACATCGATTTCAGTAAGAAATTGATATACCTACATAAACAAAAGATCGTTGTGTTATATCGTTTTTTGTAAGATCGACATTATTCGGGATTACTCAGAGGAAATAGGTCAGTTGTTTCTCAACCAAAATCTTTTTATCGATTACAATTCTTCGAATTGGTCAATGGAAAAATTATTGCATTGCGTTATAGTTTTGGCGTCAGGTATGAAAATGTCTTTGACTGACTTAATTCAATAAACATTGATTTATTATACACAAACTTTGTATATTGAATTAATCAAAAATTAAAAACTTTTATGTTTGTTAACTTATAATTGATTGACGCCTGCAAATGATTTTTCATTCACGGAAAAAAAACATTTGTAGACTTAGGTATAGGTAGTTAAGTAGTCAATTAACAGCAATTTACAACTTGTTTTACATGCAAGCCTTGCAATAATGCAATAATTCTAAAAAATAAACGAAACTCTACCCCTGCCTACTTTAGCTTTCCCCCCTCGCATATGAAATAAACCTTTTTCACCGTTTTTTTTTTTTTTTACTACATACGGTATTTGTTATAGGACTATTTCTAATATTGTCTCATCAAAAACTCATAAGTAAAATGGACGCATATGAATCTTGTAAAGTACTTGAGTTAACTGTAAAAGTATTCAACTACATACTTTTTAAGTAACCAATAGTACATATTTTTAATACTTTTGAAGAAAGTACTTGAACAAAGTATGTACCTACTGTTGTATAATTTAACTACGAATTGGTGTTAAACATAGACATTCATTGTCATTTTAAATTCTAAATGAGTGATTTTTAGTTTTCACCAATACCATACTTCGAGAATCGAGATAAGTTTTTTTACATATAATATATTAATATCATAATCAATACTTACATTTGATTTAATTTACATTAACATTGAACACGATTAGCATGCATATTTTAAATTGTAAATTACACTCAAATGCTAACATTTAATATTGAACTAATTGGTATTATAATTATACTAGCTGATCCCGTGCACTTCGTTTCCCGTTAAATGTACCAACTCTATATGACTCAAACATTGTTCAATGCGTTATTTAATATTCGGTGTATGATGTTCTAGATTTATCTTAACTTTTCTGTTGCCCGGAATAAAAATTCTGTTTCGCAGCAGTATATTATCAGGTAGGCCATCTACCTGTGGTAGATCGCGGACCCCGTGCTGTTTGTACGTAAGTGTATGATTTAACTCAAAAAGTACCAAAGTTATACCAAGTTTGACGTTTTTACTTAATTCCACCTACCTATAAATCCTAACCTAACCTAACTGTACTAAAACCCGATGAATAAAAAAAACCAAATTTAACCCTTTTTAAATTAGCGTATCTTTTTCCCATAGGTCTAATCTACACACCATCATTCATTTATATATAAGATATATTGACAAAAAATAATAATACAAATCAACAAACATGCCCGATTAACCAATAGCAACCAATATAATATAATACACCATAGATTAAATAAAGACAACGGTATCGAGTTCAAATCCCAGACATCAATAAATAGTTATTGCAGTTTTTCTAATTATTCAGTTGACTTTTTAAAAATTTCCCTTCGTAAAAACCTTCACCTGGCAATTACGAACATCTTAAAAAAAAATTGAGACAAATCGGACCAGCCGTTCTCAATTGATGAATTGTTATACATTTTTGGCTCCATTTTTATATATATACAGGTGTAGTGGATAAACATTTTGCGGGGTAACCCCATACCACTCCACTCCGCTCATCTAAACTTAAAATACTTATAACTCATAAGCTACTCGTCCTAAGTTCGATTTTTATGTATCAAAATACTTAGAAAAATATTCTGCTTTGGAATACGAAATTAAAACTCTATGCTGTCATTCAAAAAAGTAAAAAACCTAAAAAATTATAAGGATAAAAAATATTTAAAAATATAATTTTTTAATGAAAACGTTGTTTTTTTAACAACTTGAAACTATGTAAAAAAATATTTTCAAAAGTATTTTTGAGATAATGAGTGTTTTACGCTTAATGAATCTCCTTATATATAAGATTATATCAAATAGGTAGGCATGGCAATTAAAAATATAATACAGAATAAATATTTCAAATTACCACAATCTTTATTTTACAAATAATTTGTATCTTTAATGAACTATTTTCAATGAAATAAAATAATTGAATAATGTTATGAATAGGTACTTTACTTAAGTTAAACGTATGTAAAACAGTTTATTTTACAAAGTCTTAGGTTTAAATTGTATATAATAAAAATTCACATGGCACTATCGTTGAGTCCTTAATTTACACAGGTTTAGTTTTAAGGTCATCATACAACTCCCAGTTTTTTGTATCACGCTTCGCGTATGTTGTATAATGACCGATTGAATGTCTCAGTTTCGATTTTCCCTGACGAAATGCTATCACGCCACGAAGTTCGTATGTGGTTGTGTCACATATGATTATAGGAGAAATATCACATAAACGTACCATAGAGATATGGTTGCTTCACTACAACTACACTGATCATTTTCACCTAGAAATAATACAATATTTGAATGTATAATTTTTAGTAATATACTTTAATTTAATTTAATTACCTTCCCACTAAAGTACGTAAATAATTAAACATAATATTATATAATATATTTAAAAAAAAGTGTATTTTCTCAAAAAAATATTCATTTGTTCTCACTTAATAGTTTAAAATAAATGTTGTATTATCTACACAAATAACTTTCATTTTTGAAGTTGTAATTTCAATATAATAAAAACTTTATTTAATTAACCCTTAGTAAATTAAATTATCTTTATAATATATTGTGTATTATATTCCTTGTATAGAATAGAGTATATTATAATGTATAATTTAAAGTCTAATGAATATTATATTTTATATTTATCAATAATAAGAAAAAAACCATCAATAACGCCGTTGAAGCATCAAAAGCACAAGTATTGCTCAAAATTAATTTGCCTTCCCTTGATTTGCAGCTTTTTAATTCAGCAAACCTTGAACCATTTTTCAAAATTGGTGAGGTTTGTTTATTTTTTGCAGAACTTATATTTAGATGCCGTAAGTGCGGGTTTGGATTAAGATAAGAGTTATTTTTTCTTTGCTTTTTGCTTTTTCGGTTCCAGCTTTCAACTGCTCTACTTTCCTCAGTCGTAAAATTAACAGGTGGTATTTTAATAAACTGCAACGATTGTATTTGTAGATTATCATCAGATTCTAGATGTAATTCTACATTATTATTATCATTAATAATTGGCCTTTGTAAAACATATAAGGCATTATAAGGAGGAGATTTCGTACGATTTTCAATGTACACATCATTATCATTTTCATTAATATTATTTGAAATAATTGTTGACGAAGTAAAACTATGGCTATCATCAATCGCTTCACATGATTCAGGCAATGAAGAAATAGCTATATTGTTGCAAGACGACCGTAATAAAGCAGCTCCTTTTAGCGATTTAATGTGATTTTCCAAAAAATGTTCAAGATCAGTTGGAATTGAAATATGTTTAAATGTTACCCTTTTAAGCTTCTTAAAGCTTGATTCAACTGCTGCTGAAGTCGATATATCATCACCATAACCGAATATCGAAATCATGATGCCCGACCATAAGGGTAATAGTTTCATACTTTTAATAATAAGGGGCAAATGCTGGTAAGTACAAGAGATTTAACGCTGAACCTTCTTGTATCGAACTCTCACTTCTGTTGTATATATTTTCAGCCCACTATTGAAATGGGTTATCATACTCATTTAATCCTTCATATTCTTCTTCTAAAAAGTTCCTAGCTTCATCATCTGACTCTGCAGCTGCTAATATATCGTTAAATTGCTGTTCAAACAGTACAAGACCCGTAGAAGTGGCGTCAACAAGTATTTTAAAATTTATTTCGCATGGAGTCTCCTGTCCATTTTTGTGAATTCCGCTTGTTTCATTAATTAATACTACAAACAAGCTATGTAGTAATGATTGGGCTTCTATCAAATATTTACATTTTATTAAAAGTCCAATCACAAGTAAAATAATCTCTCTTACTCTCCGAGGTACAGTTTTTAATGGAGTCCATTTTGTGCAAATTCTTAAAAAAATGTGCCACATCAATTCTCACAAAACACCACGGAACCAAATGTGAATTTGAATTTAGTTCTTTAGTTAACAGGTCTGAACAAACTCGTATATACTATAAGTGAAGAGTATTGAGTGAAACTTTGAACAACAGCGGAAAGTAGGGCCAAAGAGTTATCACAAACCGTTTTCTTCTTTTTTTTTACGTCTGAACTTATCCAATTTAATAGCCAATTTGAAATAGATAAATTGTTATGTTTTTCACTCACCATGTTTGTTATAGTAAAATTTACGTTTTTTGTGCTATCATACACCAGGTCTTCATATAAGTATAATGAGTTTTTTTTCACCAAATTTATGAAATTTTTTCACGACCGAACAAGTTGCATCAATGACTAACTTTGGTATTTTAGTACTATTATTAGATACTAATAATTATGCCGAAAAAATGAGATATAATACAACTTAAGTTGTAAAAAAAAAATATATAACAATTTTAAAGAAAAAAAAGGCATCGGACAAGACGAGGCAATGTGCGAGGGGTACGTGATGGCGAGTGGGTGGTGATGCAGATAATGATGGCCACTGGTCACCTCTACACAGTTCTCGCGGCTGTCCTGTGGGGCGGACGAGAGTCGCGGACGCGTTTGCTCTGGATGCGAAGACGACCATGGCAGCGGGCGAAGCCAGGCCACGACGGCTGCGAGAGCGATGACGACAGTTGGTGACGAGCGGCTAGTGCGCGATGTAGTGCGCTCGACGGTACTGCGCAGGCGCTGAAGACGACTGTTGTGCCGGCGACGACGGTGACCAAAGCTCGGAGCGAGCGGCGAAGACTATAATAATATCGGCCGACAGGATCAGACCACTGCAGAGCGAAAAAGGGAGAGAATCCGCGGACAGCATCGCAACGCGCCGATGTCCTGGTACTCTCCGTGGTTTTCGCCCTGGCGTCCGAACTCTGAAACGTTTCGTTTCTTCGAGCCCGGCGCTGCTGAAGTCCGTGTTCCTGGCCAACCTGTAATTATAAATAGTCATCCGTCACTCACCCGCCGTGAGCTTTAAGGTCTCCGTCGTCTTCGTGCAACACTGCGGCAGTCGTCACTGGTACCGTCGGAACGGCGTCGATGTCCGAGCCGGTACCGCTAGCCGTCCGTCGTCGTGTCGTCGTCGCTTTCGGACCGAAGCAGCCGGGCGTCAGCCACGCCGCCAGAGGGTCTCGCGTGTCGACGACCTCGAGCGCGCGACGTCCGCGATCCTGTCTCGCTACCGCCGGTGCAGGCCGCGGAGAACGTGTATCGGAGACTTACCACCGGTCACCCCAAAAGTGCACTGTCACGTACCTAAACCTCGACCCCGCTTCATCGCCTTGCCATGTCCGCTGCCCTCGGCCAGGGGGGAACTCTCGGACGGTTTCACTTCGGGGAACAACAGCAGAAAACGCGTGCGGCCTGGGTGATGCCTGTCCACGCAGCGGACGCGATCCTCGCCGCCGTCCGTCTGGGCGGACCTGCGCGTTTTGCTAGCGTTGCCCCCGGGTCCAGCCAGCCGATCAAGTCTCCGATGCTGTTCCTGACATCAGGTCCCCTGGCCGGTGTGACGAACTCCTCCGCCTCGTCACCGGGCCCTTCCACAGGCGCCTGCACAGCTGGCACGACGTCAACGTCGTCTCCGATCCGTTCAACCGGTCCAATCAGACTGGAATCGTCGTCCGGTTGAATGGTTTCCGACGAGTCGCCGGCCGCGAACTGGGTCGCATAGTACAACAGGCCCTCCAAATCCGAAACCGTAGGCTCTTCTCGGTAGTTGTCGAATACGCTGAGTTCTGCTTCCATAATGTCATACTTGATGTTATTGATGATGTTCCTCATAACGTCCTCTATACGGGTTTCTCGATTTTTTGGGTTTCGGTAGTATGCAATTCAGCCATTTTCACAGGTAAATTGTACGCGTGTAGGTATAGTCAGAATATTAAATTGCAAATGAGCTGATTCCGAATTTCGTCCTAGGCCGTCGCCGTTAATTTAAAACAAACATCGTTTATTAGTAGCCAGCTAGCAAACCATCATAATATTATTACTAATCGACCTGCAGCATCGAGACTGGATTTCGGGCCCGTTTATTTTTATTTTTATTATTTATGTTGGTATTATGATATAATGCAGTAAATTATTATTATTACTTGATAAAAATATTAAACAACAAAAAACTACTTGAAACGTTTTAATATAAAGTACAAGTACTTACATATACTATATTATAATCATAACTTCAATACAATGTAATTATTGATATATGTTTATTAAACCATCGGAGACAAACATTTAACGTAAAAATTATGATAAGTTAAGCTAATTTTGACAGGAGATTTTAATATTAAAACAATTTCTCTATGAAAAAATTGGTTTGCATAATATTAACAATGATCCATCAGAATCTACAACACGACATAGTACTACTAATGACACTGATTTTTCTAGATATTTGCAAAATATCAAATCACAAACTCACATATCTTACTTCAGTTACCATAGACCTATAATTTCAATGATTGAATTGTTCTTATGAAAAATAATAATTATAATATTGATATAATTTAACCTAACCAGATGGATTCAAAGGTATGATGCCGTTAATGATTTTGTTCAGTTATTTCCATACGTTGTAGTTTCATTAGAAACTATGTCAAGTTGGAAAGATGTAAGTGCAGTTGAAGCAAATATGTTAAGAAATGCAATGGACTCAGAATTTCTTATATCAGTACAAATTATAAAGGTACCTAATTCAATATATTAAATCATGTAGTTGACTTAAAAATTAAATGTTTATTTGTTTTTTAATAGGTTTTATTTTAATATGGGCTGCCATTGTGCAAACAACTACAAAGCAAATACATTGATTTAAAAGAAATGGTTGGTTTAGCAGAAGATAATGTTAATGCTCTTAAACAACTAAGAACTAATATTGAACCTGAATTTAAAAAAATATTTAATGAGGCTCAAGTAACTAAAATTAATGATTAATATATTGTAATGGAAATAATAACAAGTGTAATTTTCTTTTGATTGAGTTATTACCTCATTAACTTTTTTTGTTTTATTTCTCGTACTGAGTTAGGTATTTTAACAATATTTTCTTTTTAAATTATTTAATTGCATAAAGCAATGTACAATCAAAAATACATATAACAAGGATTGATTTTACAATATGAAAAATGATTGGAATGGACTCACGGACGTTGCCTGGTAGGTGCTGGTGGTTGGTCCCTATGTCCCTTGACTGTTTTCTGCGTGACGTACAGCCTTAGTTCTTATCCGGTGATGATGATGATGATGATGGTCGCGTAATTCAAATGCGATCGTTATTAAGATTTGAGGGACGTAAACTTAACGTGCGTTTAAGACGTAACGGTAGAGTAGGTAAAATTGTTGATTACGGTGTTATCAATAATTTTACTACGCGTTCACTCGTGCGAAAAGCTACAGATCGTCAGTGTAAAGGCGCCTTCACAGCTCACCGTGAAACGTGAAACGTGATAATATATAATTTGTTCCCGTAAAAATATTCTTAACCACGACTGTCAACCATACGGTAAACACACGCTCTGAGTAGGATTGAACTCAACTATACGGTATAAGCGGTATAGATAAGGTATTAAGGGGGGTTCACACTACACCGTGTCGTGTAAAATAATCACGGTTACCACAGTTACCAAACGATACCGCATAGTTGAATATATTCAACTTTTGACCGTGTGGTTACATTTATGTGCAGATAAAGCCGGGTTCATACTTAATGTAACCACACGGTCAAAAGTTGAATATATTCAACGTATCGTTTGGTAACTGAGGTAACCGTGATTATATTACACGACACGGTGTAGTGTGAACCCGCCTTTATAAGAAAAAAAATTATGGTTAACCATTAGATAACCACATGGTTCAACCAATCACAGTTCTAGAATATATCACGTTTCACGTTTCACGGGGAGCTGTGAAGGTGCCTTAACACGGTGACTCGATCGGCGGTATCAATATTATGAATTGGCACTGTAACACTGCTGCTCGATTGGTGGTGTCAATATTCTGAATCGGTACTGCCCGTACTGTTTGTGCTCCCGAGTAAACGGTGAACACCAGATACGGCAAGAAGAGGACGGCGGCGGAAAACTGCGTTCGGCGGCGGCGAAATGAAACGGTGATATTTGTCCGCACTGTTTGTGCTCCCGTTTGGACGGTGAACAGATTAAATGGATTGACCATGTTGTCGGTATACCGTAATAAAAATTTAACTCCTGAAGAAGTCATTGAGGAGTTGGGACAAAAACCCAGGAAAATAGACATTGTTTTATAATGAAAATAAATATTAGTTAAACAACATATTATTTTGATTTATCAATGTATAATATATTATATATATGTATATAATTTTTTATATGTAAGCCCCCCCCCCCCATTCAAAATAGCTGTGTACGCCACTGAGTGACGCAACATTAAAAATGTGCAATTATAATTACTAAATAATTTAAACTATTTTACATATCATAAGACATTAAATAAATTGGTAGGTAGGTACATAATATATTTTATTATAAAGTCATATATTATGATACTATTTACTAAGAAATAAGTGCCAAATAATACAAACTATATAGTATATACATTGACACATTGTATACATTTATACCTACAATATACCTACGTTTAATAGGATAGTATTATAGGTCAATGACATTTTTTATTTATCAATAAAATTATCTATTTGTTAATTTGATTTAATTTTCATAATTAAATAAATATACACGATGCAACTATTTATGTAAGTAATATCAAATACTATAGAAAATATAATACAATTGTCAATTATTATATAATTTTACTACCTACAAACTTTACTTAAATATAATATGAGGATCTATATGTTGATTACCTCAACGACTCAACCAGTTAATTCGCCTGACAATTGTAATATTATATTGATATTTACCTATGTATTTATTAGTTCATATATCATAGGTAATTATATATAGAATATGTTTTTTTGTTTGTGTAGTATATCGTTTGCATTGTGTGTAGTTATATACTACGGCGAAGGTCATTCGAGGTGAATGACCTGCTAGACACCCAAAAAATTCGTTGGCTATATGATTATTGATTTGGAAGAACTCCAGAAATTTTTAAATTTTTTTCACTTAATTTGTTACTTAATTTTGCTTTTTTGGTGACAGTAATGAACGCTGTCCGTGATCCGATGCAGTCGGATTGCATACCTGATGACGTGACCCGGCCGTCGTACATTGTCCGCTATCCGACGAAGTCGGATTGCCTACCCGGATAACTGAGGTGACTGACCTGCTAAACACCAAAAAAATCGCGGCGGCTATGTGATTTCTTTACGGAATTTCGAATTTCCGGCTGCAGTAAAGTACGTTGTTGGCAAACGTTGTTGCTTACCCGGGCTACCACGTCTAACCACGGTGGTCCTAACCTGATCCCAGTACCTTATCAGTTATCACACATCAACCAGCTCGAGACCGACGACAAGACCAAAAGACCACTGCAGATTCCGACATAATTTAAAACTACTAACCAACTCGGGGGGGGGGGGGGTCAGGTCTCCCCCAGAGAGACCTGACCTCCCCGGAGAGGTAGTATTGTATAAAATGTAACATAGTGAATATTTCAACTTATAAAATAACAAAATATATCATTGGAGACAATCTATTTTGTCAAGTTGGTACCAGTCAAAGAGAACACTTGAAAAAGGAAACACCAAATCTTATACATAAAAATGTATCTAATGAATTAATACATAGTTCTAATATCATTATCTAGATTTACACTGATGAGTTATGACTAATGCATCTAACACAGAAATTAGTGTATTAATATTATATTGTAGTTGTACATCAAAACATAACTAAGATTTTCCAATTAAATTATCATAGTACAAAGCATTCATACAACTGAATATCTAACACTTCGTAAAGAAACTCAATTACCTCTTATAAGGTTGATGAAACAAAAATAGACATAAAATATTCTATCCCCCTATTCAATCCAGGATAATAAGTACCTAATAGTGGAGATCTTGGCTTTAAAAATCGGCAACTATTTTTCCAAATCTGATATTGATATGCGATTTATATGTATAGACTCCATTACATTTCAACATAAAGCTAAACTAGGAGGCATAGGAGCCTGAAATGTAATAAACAATTTTAAAAGTAAAATATTTTTATTTTCATAACTTATAGACATACAAAGAAATTAACATAGGTAGTTTATAATTAAAATATGAATTTGTTAAAAATAATTATTGGAAAAATTGTAGCTCAAATAGGTACAAGGTATAACATAATTTTATGTAGGTGCGAGGTGCCTCACTTAAAAAAATTATAAATAAATCAAGATTTGTATTAAATTTTGGATCTTCTATCCAGTGTCTTGGTAACGTAGTTACAATACTTTCAAGGGCGTTTAAATTCTATAATGTAAACTTGACAGCCAAATTTTTCATTATTTCGTGAATATTGTACATGAAATTTGTATGTTCCATAAAAAAATGTTTTTGGTACATTGGTTTCCTTCAATTCTGACTCATTTATACCATTACCTATATAAACACCCTGCAAGTATAACAACAAGTATCCAAAGTACATTAGAAAATAATTGTATTAATACTCATTAATAGATTGTATACCTACAAAATATACTGTTTAATCAGTTAAAATTAATAATTTATTTATTTTGGTGACGATGATAATTGAATGATTGTATGGTTATACTTATATAATAATAATTAATTATAAAAAAGAGGGTAAGTTGCTATTGATCTGCTGTACAGTAGGTTATAAGTGGGCCAATGTATAATAGAGTATTGGATTATATTAAACTTCAATTCAATGATATAATACCATTGTACCTATAAGAAAAACGATTCTTAGCGGAGACGGTTTTTCAGTCTGGATATTTTAAATTGCTATCATTTATTATAGCCTGCAAGTTGAATTAATATTACAATATTTTTATTTTTATTCTTTTCTATGGTGATAAACAAAGTGTTAGAAATTAAAATCCCGTTTGTAGCGGTGTTTCGTAATTGGTCGGTGATTTTTCTCATGCCATTAAATAAAACTATTGAGGAAATCAAAAAATAACCTCTTTATTAAAATACAATCTTTATCCAATTTGCTAAGTATAAGATACTATATCTTGAAATCGAAGCACTCATTTTGGTAGAAATTGTGTATACAGTGTGGCGTATGAGTGATGTGTGGAGTTGTGTACTTCGCTAACAGACAACATACTTGTGTGACTCGAGGAAGGTAGATATGAGACATAACACATTACTTTTTAATTAAGAAGAACTTTTATTTATTGATCGAAAGAGATAAAGAACATGATCATTTTGAGTGAGTCAAAAGAAAGGTGGTCGTGTGTTACGGACGTACGTTGCGGCATCGTTTGTCATATCGGAAAGTAGTCGACCTTGGACTCGGTCGTGTGGCCCGGAGGCACAGTACAAGTCGAGCGAGTTGCGAGCAGGTCAAAGTAGACGCGTGTGGTCTCCAGGAGAGTCGCCATGGGAGAGAGCATGACAAATTAGATAGGTATCGTCACAGTTGTACTAAAAGTACGCAGTATGCGCATCTCCTTCAACTCCGTCCCATGTCGTAGTTCTCCATTTCTCATTGGTTGATATAGTTCTATGTTATATATGTATGTTGTATGTATATGATTGATAGTGGAGAACTACGATATAGGCGAAGTAAAGATGAGTATCAAAATACTGTGATGATACCCATCTAATTTGTCATGGGAGAGAGCATGACTAAATAGTAAATAAACAGGCATGTCAGCTCGATAACACTGTGCATAAAATTGTGATAAAATATGTTCCCCAGACTTGGAATAAACTCTAAAATATTGTATGCTACAATAATAATCTACATTATACATTTTATATTATACTTTCCATGACTATAGTTAAAATTAAATTTTAGCTGACATGCATGTTTATTTAGTCATGGGAGAGAGCGAGCCGTGCCCAACACCATATGACATGACGGACGCGAGTCGGTTTTCGCCAACCGTAGAAGGGGGGCCGTAGAGAGGAAATAATGTGGTGATGGCTCACCACTACAGGATAGAAATAAATAAATAAAAAATAAGTAAACACCATTGTAAAACCACTAGCTTCCTTTCTCGATGAGAATCTAAAATACAATATAATTATAATATGTTTTAACTTAGGTGCTTACCGGAGGTATAGGACAATTAAGATTTTTAAGTCCAAAACCATGCATGAATGCATTCGCTGCGTTTCCTATTAATTTTTTTATCGATGAGCATGCATTTGGTGTTGTATGCATAAATACATTTTCTTTCCATTTTCCAAACGAATCTTTGAGAGCCATATTCATTTCTAACTACAAAACAAGTTTAACAGTTAATGGATCACTTATATGGATCTGCAAATACAAAGCAAGCTAACACGTTTTCAAAAACAAATTAGGTATTTTCTGAATAAAAAAAAAAAAAAAGTTTTATGTTTGTGATTACTACACTAGCTACGGTATAGTACACTTGTTAAAGTTTTAACCTCATTCAAACAGGTTAATTTTATGTACACAGAGTTTTGGTTTAAAATTAAATACCACATTATTAAATTATTAAGATTTTTAGTATAACTGAGTATCCCGAGGCAATAATATAATCTTCTGTTTTTAAAAGGAGAAATCCCTTTTCTACTGTAAATAATTTAGCGGATAATTTTTCTGATAATTTTGATGTACCTACCCAATTCAAAATTCAAACGAGTAGTTTCTCAGTTATTAAACTTAAGGATAATTGTCCTTAAAAATGGTTTTAAAAAATATAAATTAGAAATATAAAATGTATTATATTTTTATTTTTATTTAAAGTGCTCTAAAAAAAAAGATACCCAATGCGAGAAATAATTATTTAAAATTTTACAGCTCCCTAATCTCAAACACCTAGGTCCTGGTTATACCTATCATGCAGTAATATAGTTGTGATATACTAATATGTTTAGGTATACAAATTACCTAAGTATAAAGTTTTGAGTATTTATAACAAATTAGCTGATCCAGTGAACTTCGTTGCCCATTAAAAATCCCAACGCTATATTATAAATAAAATGTTATTTTTATAAAATATAACGGTGAACATAACAAAAATTTTAAGCCAATGGCAACCAATAATTATTATTATTATAGCTTTGAAACCCACGGCAACCATTTATAAACAAAAATCTACATAGGAAATTTCAAAATCCCTGTTTGCGCACCTCCCGGGGTTGGTCTCTCCCTTTTTAAATTAGCCCATCTCCTGCACAGAGATCTAACCTATCTCTGTACCAAATGATTCCAAGCACTTCGTTGCCGGCAACCAACAATTATTATTATAATAGCTTCAAAACCCATGGCAACTATTTATAAACAAAAATGTCCATAGAAAATCTCAAAATCCCTGTTTGAGCACCTCCCGAGGAATATATTTTCAAAACATTTTTCAAGACACGAAAATGTTTTTAAATATCTTAAAACATTTTTTGGCCAGCAAAGTAACATTTTTAACAATATTTTTCTATAAAATTTTAAAAACATTAGCATAAGTTAAATGTTTTTTAAAAATGACAATAAAATATTTTTTAATTGTTTTCATTGAAACATTTTTCATAAAAACATTTGTAAAATATATATTTGAAAACATTTTTTGATTTTGATGAGAAAAAGTTTTAAAAATATTGTCATTTTCAAATTGCTGTATGGGATGTTTTACATATCAACATGGCAACCATTTATATACAAAACATTCCATCTGAAATTTCAAAATCTGTATATATAAAACAGTTGATTGACTGCTATTAACCTAACCTAACCTAACCAAACCATTGGGCGGATTGGACTGAAATTTGGCATACAGATAGCTATTATGGCGTAGGCATCCGCTAAGAAAGGATTTTTCGAAATTTTGAATTTAAAGGGTTGTAAAAAAAATTTTTTACATGTAATTTGTATATCTATATTCATATAATAATAACAATAACAGTCGACCGATTACGGGAAATACGGTACGGCACGACGGCCAGAGGATTTCCCTCCACTAAAGCACGATTGAGCATAAAACGATTGAGCATATACCTTTTTAGCAACACGATTGAGAATAGAATATTTTATGTGATGTTGCCACATTTACGTGGCCGAAATTTTGTAATTTATTATTTTCACATATTATTGCCCCAATAATTTTTATGATACCAGACGCGAGTTGTGAGCTGAATTAAGTTCAGAAGTTTTAAAAATTTAAAATTAAAGAAAAACATAAGATTATAAATTAAGATACAATTCCTAAATTATCGTTTAAATAATATCAGTGTTCGATCACCCATCCTCTATAGTATTCTTGACTTATAAAGTTATAAGCCATGCAGTATTTTTTTAATTCGTACCATATTTTGATTTTATTATTTTCATAACTATTATTATTATTATTATCATCATTATCATTATCATTATTATTATGTAATTGTTTTGATATATTATATTTTGAATTATAATAGTTATTTAAATAAATCTTTTTGTATAATATAGTTTAAAATGGAAAATGGCAACGTTGCAGAGTTTTTTATGCTCAATAGTGTAGGTTTTCTTTTGTATTCTGATTTCCTTTGATACACCGACAATTTGGCTCAATCGTGTCGTAAAAAAGGTGTTTTATGCTCAATCGTGTCTCAGCCTTTCCATCTACCTGTACTCTGACCTTTTTTTTGTGTGTGTATTTTATCAGCGTGTAGATATGAATTGTTCCGTGGCTATATTATTATTTATGAGTTGCATAGAAAACACCGACTAGCTCAATTATACAAATCTTAATCTTACTTTACAGCGATTTCGGGGTATTATTATAAGCCGGGTTTTTAGCTATTTACACGTAGAGTATATAAAATGTATAAGATGTCTTGATTTTTTTTTGAAACTAAAGAGTATTTCACGGAGAAGGTTTATAGAAAATTTTAGGAAAGTCCACCGGTTTATAATATATTGGTATCTATTGGTTAATCGGGCATGTTTATTGATTTGTATTATTATCTTTAGTCTGTCTTCTTCCCAGGGGTCTATTCTACACATAAACATTCATTTATATATATATATTGATAAAAAATAATACAAATCAACAAACATGTCCGATTAACCTATAGCAACCAATATATATAGGTACACAGTTTTGCTCTACTGTTGTATTCTTTACATCCAGATTTCCTAATTTTCCGGTGGATTTTCTTAAAATTTTCTTTCGTAAAAACCTTCTCCTGGCAATTACGAACATCTTAAAAAAAAATTGAGCCAAATCGGACCAGCCATTCTCGATTGATGAGGTAACGACATTTTTCACTCTCCATATTTATATATATATTAACTAATTATTGACTAACATTATCGGACTTTATTTATGCCTAAAACCTGCTCCGTGATATCCTCTTTCATTAAAAAAAACGGCATGACAATTGGATAAGAAGTTTCGAAGCCAAACTGTAACAAAGATTTCCACTTTTGCTTGATTTCAGTTTTATATATATAGATAATGTTTGTGGGAAGATTAGACCTCTGGAAAGAAGATAGGTTGATTTACAAAGGGTTATATTTGTTTTTTTATTTATCAGATTTTAGTACGGTCAGGTTAGGATAGGATTTTGTATAAATTGATTATATTAACCTACCGTAGGTGGAATTAAGTAAAAACTACAAACTTGGTATAACTTTGATACTTTAGAGTTAAATCATACACTTATGTACAAACAGCACGGGGTCCACGATGATCTACCACAGGCAGATGCCTATACCTGATAACGTAGAAATTTTATTCCGGCCAACGGAAAAGTTAAGATAAATTTTGAACACCATACAACGAATATTGAATAACGAATCGAACAAAGTTTGAGTCATATAGAGTTGATACATCTAATGGGCAACGGAGTGCACGGGATCAGCTAGTAATATATAATTGGTTACCATGGTAATATGGACACATACACAGACACACAGACAGACATACATTCATTTTTATATATTATATATATACTCTGTCCCAAAAGAGAATAATCAGTCAGCCGACCGGTTTTCGTCAGTGCCACGCATCCACCACCAACTTCCCCGTGTTAACGTGATCACGTGGTTCTTGAAGCACCAATCGAATCATTGGTGATGCGAGAAAAGTGATTATTCTCTTTTGGGACAGAGTATAGATAATATTATAGAATTATACACTTTAGTAATGAATAATAAAAATATATATAGGTATAATAGTTTACAAACACATAATATGATATTGCGACAGCCTGCACTATTCATAGATATTATAAGAATGGATAGGACATGCCTATACCAGTTCCATATGAGGCCGTGTGCTTTTTTGGGGAAGAGAGAACGTAAAGAGAGAAAGACGATATGAGGCTTTTTAAGGTTATGTGCAAAACTATTTTATTAAATAATAATAATAATAACATGATAGTCAGTTATATTTAGATATTAATTGTCAGTTTGTATTTTGATTGTTGTGCCACCTGTGCCTGGAAAATGGAAATTGGAAAATAATATTTTAACAAAATGAAATTGTATAAATTGTATTTATTATTATTTATCAATTATCATATCAATATTTGCCTTATATAACCTTAAAAATAGTATCACTAAATTTTCATGTGATAAGTTCTTATGTCCTATCCATTCTTATATTATCTATGGCACTATTATAATGTTCTCACAGTATCTGTATCTTTAATCTAACTTGATATTTGTGATATATATTTCAATTCTAACCACTTACGAAAAAAGTGTCGTCAAAAAGTACATCGATAGTTGTATTTCCAAGGAGCATTTTTGAATTGGCTCTGTGACTTATGTAATAGTTATGCTGGATTTTATTGTCCTGCGTAGGATTGCAATTAAAAACCTGTTTGACGAGGAATTTGTAAGGACCCTAAACAGAAATATTTATCAGTGCATAAGACTTTAAATAGTATTTTACTACTATAGTTATTTTCACAATATGTGTTATGCATATTTGTATAAATATTATATTATTATATAATATTATGTTTTTATGCTAATTGTCAGAACTTATGAAACCTTAAACACTTTCGGACCAAATTTCATCAGCTATTAACCTAACCTAAGCTTGAATTAAATTTTCAAACTTTCGTTATTAAAATTGGAAGTTTGTTACATTTTTAACTACATAAATTTTTCACATTATTGTAATTTTTTCAAATTAAAATTTTTAGTTTCTAGATTTTTATCATTATGGAAAAATAATAAAAATATAGAGTGGTTTCTTGTAAATTAGATGTAGTTGAATCTACTTTGGGTTGTGTCAAAACTAATACATTTACAGTATTTTTTAAAATAACTAGTAAATACCAAATATAAGGAAAACAAGTTACTGAAATATTTGGCTTTTTGATTGAATTCAATAACCAATAACTGGATACAAGCATTTCTCAAAATATTTTTGCATCATCATTCAGTGGAACGTATATCATTTTGAATTTATGGCTTTGTTAAAAATCTCTTAACAGCATTATGTACCTAATGTTAGTGTACGTGACTTCTATTTTAATATTATAGCAGTATAATATACTACTATACTATATTATTACAATACCTATAGGCTAATTATAAAACTGCGATATTTATGATAAAAGTTTCCTTACAATAATTATTCACTTACGATTGGAGAACTCAATAACGGTTTTGAATTGGCAGACGATCCCAACCCAACTGTGAAGATCAGTTGAATAAGCATACTACAAAATGTATTGTGTTTCATGGTTTATCTTCCTTTGTTTTTTTGGAGTCAATAAGTAGATACAAACAGTTACTGATCACGATTGAACAGTATATTGTTAAAACCGAGTTTCACATAAGCTATATTGTGTTTCAAGTATTAAATTGGAAAAAAATATATATGTATATATTTTTCAGGTAATTTGTTTGCCATTGTAATATTTATTAATAGGTCAATTATACTACTTTTATTTATTGTTATATAATTATTTTCTTCTATTATTATACATTAATTATTGTACACAGATATTATAATGATAATGATTACTACACAGATTATGATATTTTGATGATTTATTTGATACATTTGAATAAGTTCACAGTTTCACATAAAATATCCTATATATATATATATATAGATTATGCATACTTGATACATACTATTGTATAATATCATGCAATATAGGTCAGCTACTGCAGATCATTTTCTATTAATTCCACAGTGGTTTTTAAACGTCGTTGCAGTCTTGGCTCCCTCCCCTCTCGCCTTTATTACGCCTGTGTAATACGCCAAGGTGAGCTTTTGTCCTGAGTTCACAGCTCTTTTGTGTCCAGCTAGACGCTGTTTTGTTGGCCGGACACTTTGAACAAATCCTCCTTTTAGGCTCGCCTTTTTTTGGCGTTCGCCCGGCAGACATTTTTTTGTCCTCTCGTTTGTTGAACCGTTTCGTGCATCGGCACCGGCTTAGGCTCTTTTTCGTGTCTTGAGCCACGTCGTAGTCGTTCCAGTTTCCTCTAGTAATACTCGTTTTTACCTACAGCTTTTTCCACAGCGGTTATATTTATCAAACTGATAACAGTATACTGCCGTCATAAGCAAAAACGCCGTAAGTCCCCAAAAAATAAAAAATGAGGTTATAAAAAATAATAATAATTATAATATAATATAATATAATATAATTATATTGTATTCATAATGGATGAATTCATTAAGTTCTTAAAAAATAATAATATCATTGCGGTTCTATCAAATGAAGTTTCTAATATAAATGAAAAGACCTCGATAAGAATGAAAGCATTATGAAATTCTCAACTTCATTAACATTATTAATATTGGCTCTAAGAAAACAACACAAACAACTAAAATATCGTTGCCATGTACGTGAATATTTCAAAAATTTACAATTCATATCTGTGTCACATACCTAGTTACCACTTGTTAATATTCATTTCTTGTGTTCATTACGGATAAATTTCATTCCTATACGTATTTCTGTATAATCTTCTCCGTTAATTGTGCCTATATAATATTTTCAAATAAATATGTCATATAGATGTGTATCTATGACTAACATGGCTGCGATGTGTGAAAATTCCTCAGCCAAATCAACAGATATTGGATGGCGATCAACGCCAAATCTCAAGTTTAACCGTACCAATGATATACGAAGACCGGAACCGTCGAAAAATTGTGATTACGAGGGTTTTCTGGACGGCAGGTTATGTGTATCTGAGCCGAACATTCCCATACATCCAAAATTAGCTGGCGAGACAGCTGCAGATATTGGGCGGCGATCAACGCCAAATCTAAAGTTTCAGCAGGTCACCAGCGATGTACGGAAACCGGAATCGTTGAAAAATTTTGATTCTAAAGGTTTTCTGGACGGCAGGCTCTGTGTCTCTGAGCCAAACATCCGCATACATCCAAAATTAGCTGGCGAGACAGCTGCAGATATTGGGTGGCAATTAACGCCAAATCTGAAGTTTCAGCAGGTCACCAGCGATGTACGGAAACCGGAATCGTTGAAAAATTTTGATTCCAAAGGTTTTCTGGACGGCAGGCTCTGTGTATCTGAGCCAAACATCCGCATACATCCAAAATTAGCTGGCGAGACAGCTGCAGATATTGGGTGGCGATCAACGCCAAATCTAAAGTTTCAGCAGGTCACCAGGAAACCGGAAAGTCCGAGACACACACGTCCTCGTCGTTCATTTTGGCGCCAGACAAAGACATTTTTCAGGCGGTTCCTTTGTTGTTGTGGTTATGTTGAGAAGATAGACCAGTAATATGTATATTATAGAAATTAAAAGGTTTTTAAACATCCCCTCCTCTCCCACCGTTATCTCACTTTTGTGTTCGCTGGTACTATTCTGAAACCGTTTATCATGTCCCCCATTGTCATTTGTACCAAGTTAGTGTAGGTTTGCCTCACGTATTTCATGCACTGTACGTCTGTACCATCGTCGGCTCTTCGCCACCTGTTTTGTTCTGTATTAATTAAATTAATATTATTATGTTACTCATATTAAACGTATTATTATAAAGTATGTACTATGTATTAATACCTATTTATTATATCTACCTCATTCGCTTTGCATAAATATATGTAATAATCCTATATGGTCACGCAGGTGGATATTGTATTGTCATGGATGTCATCGATTTTTATGATAGTAAAAAATTAAAAATTATCTATACTAGAGTGGTTGACAAATGATTTACTTCAACTTCCGTTTAACTACCCCAAAATTGAGCCATAATATTATATGAGCGATATATTATAAGTCCACGCCTCTCCGTTTCGACTAGTTACGAATTATATTATAGTATTTACCTATTCGCAAACAGCTCGGTGTTATATGCCTGCGGATAATGTTATTTGTTCTGCATCGTGATATGGAAATAACCGAATACACACTGAAATAAACGTGCAAGTGTGCAAAGTGGCAAACACCGCGTCGTAAGTTTGAGCTTCAGTGGTAGGTAAAAATTAATAGGTACTGTTAAAAATCGTGAGTAGTACTTAGAAGACTCTCCAGGCGTGTTATTCGCACACCCCACACATAGAGTCGGTATATTATACTGTAATACTATATAGGTGATCCGAGTTCTAATGTTGGACTCGATGGCGTATAATTGTACACCCCAATTTTTTATATACAATAATATTTATCAAAATTAATATACATATCATCAGCCTAATTCGCAATATTGTTCTAACTCCAAAAATGTGATTTTGGAATTAATTGTGATTAAAATTAAGGAAAAACTGCATTGTATGATAAAGTTGTAACTGATAAATTGTAACATTTTATCCTAAATATGACATTGATTATTAGAAATGGTCGTATCTCCCATGTGATGATTTTAATAATTAGAAAAAATCATAACTCCATATTAGCATGGTAAAAATTATGAAGATAGGATATTTGCGAATTGAGAGATGAGATAGGAAATTTTCCGATAAAATGTTTTTCTTTTCTCCTGAAAACTAGTCAATATGGAGTTAAGTGATTTGCGAATTAAGATGACGATAATATCTGATTTCTAGATGTTTTTAAATATAATTGAAGACCACATTTTAGAACTTTTGAGATTTTCGTATTGCATTAGAAGTGTCCTTGTGGCGATATAAACTTCCATTTTTAAAATGCTTCCATTAAGAAGAACTTGAACGCTTAGACATTTTAGTTTTAAGTACAAAAGATATCCAAACCTACCTTGTACCGACGACTATGGAGTATTGGTTGACATACTATTATTTATCTTGAGAGTGATGAAACAGACAACTCACTGGAGAGTTGACGTATTTCTGCGGAAAACACAGCACCGTATACATGAGAAATCGAAATTTATTTTGACTGTCTTATAGACATTTTTTTTTTTGATAAAGGTAGATAATCTTATAAGGAATCTTGTATTCCATTTTCAAATCTTAGATTTAAAAAGAAAAATTTTTACGAATTCTTAACTCAAAATAATTTGCTAATTGTCGTGATTTTTCTATATTTTGTCAATTTTTGAACTTTAAATGATTATAAAAAAAAATTGTGATTAAGGATTTTTAATATTTTTCATCTGCCTTTGTAACAATATACTAGGAGCCTTCTATTAAATTTTCAACTTTTCGCAACCGACAAATAAAATCTTATTGATATTTTTAGAAAAAAACTAAAAAAAGATGGAAAATGAAAATGTCCCTAAACAGTTCAAAATAAATCAAAATATTTTGAAAATGTTATCGTGTATACAAAATGCAAATATAAACAACCAGTGAAAATTTCATGTATATACGTTCATTTCTTTTAGAGTTACACCAAAAATCAAAATCGATTTTTGGAAAACCGATTTTGCGTAAAAATTCCCGTTTTTCCTTAATTTTTATGTTGTTTTTCCCGGTGCTTGTGAAAACTACTGGGAAATTTTTACTTTTGACCCCTCAAAGTACCAACTAGATTCACTTTCCTATCAGAAAAGATACTGTTGAAGAAAATCCAAGCACTTTCACTGTCCTAAAACGTGATGACAGACACAAAAAAAAAAAAATAAAATAAAAAAAAAAACACACATCATTGTAAAATCACTAAAATCAATACATTCATCGTTTCACTCAGAATCTAAAATAGATTAACTTTTTTTAAACTGAGTTAAGTTAATATTTATTTCTATATGAACTTTTAACTTATCGAGTTAAATTTATAATTTGTTAACTGCTAACTTTTAATCGATCTTGTGTCCTCTTAACTTAATTTAAATTGAGTTAATTATTTTCATTAACTTGCCCACCTTTGCTTCTGATAATCCAGAAATGCATTCGTTTATCACTGTAGACGTTGGTTCCATAGTTTCTCTAGCACGTTTTTTAATAGTGCACATTGCGATATTTGCTTCAACTTTAGCAGCATCAGTCATGAGTATGAGTGTTTATAAGCTTAAAAATAATTAAGTCTGTTTTACCAGTATGCACACGAGCTTTACATTCTCTTTTATATCTACATCGCAAAAACCGTTTTGAAACATCAGAACTAAAAGCATCAAATAAGAACATGAAACCGTCATCCACATAAACTTCACCATCGCGATTTGAGTTAATTAGCGACATTTTACATGTATACCTATGTACTCTTGTACACAATTTATACACGACTAACACGATTATAAGTGTGTATTGTCGTATACCACCGTGTTTCTATAAATTGTGATAAACGGTTGTAATAACCAATAAGTTATATATTATATTGTTATTGTAGACACCTAATACC